AGGCCCATTTTAGACCCATTGGTATACCATATGAGGCTACCGACCTCACAGATAACCTGGCCATTCAGCCAGTTTTCTCTGGAGGGTAATTCCACTATACACTTATTATCAAAAACTTCCTTAATTGAGTCGAGCATGGATCTCAATCTATAGGAGAGCAAGCTCAGACCGCCCTGGGCGTTAATCCTATACAAACTAGCCCTCACCTTCTTGTCTAGATAAAGATCAAGGGGACGTTAGAAATAGAAGTGCATTAAGAGCCGCTCCAGGCGATGATTGCATAGCTCCAGTTGCCATTAAGCAGGCAGTCCTTTGTAGACTATTTAGTTTGTCCGCAGTCGTCTTTTGGTCAGAAAATAGAGGCGTAGGAGAGAATCGACCTCACTATGCTGCTGTACAGCCATAGGACCATACTGGGACGCAAGCCCCAGTTGTTTCCAAGTTCCCAGTTATTGCGTGTTGACCAAACGACTGCACGTACCTAAAGCAATTTTTGCCTTATGGCATACGTTGCTAAGGTGAGAGTTCCACGTTAGGTTTTGATCGATTGTTACCCCCAAGTACCTACTTAACTTCGGTGGAGATTGATACTTCTTTATCATTAAGTTTTGGTGGGACTAATTTGTACAACCGTCTCTTTTTGGTAAAGGGTATAACAGTTTTATCAGCATTAACTGATAAACTGTTATCCCTACACCAGTTATTTATGTTGTTTAGGGCTCTTTGTATGATTGACGATAAAGTACTTTGTCAAAAGCCCCTCGCAATGATCACAAGGTCAAAAGCATAACCTAGTGTGTCAATGTGTAGGTCTGCCATTTTGTACAATAGTTGTTCTGCAAGAGTCCAAAGAAGGTGTGACAAAACACCTCCTTGTGGGCAGCCTCTTGTAGTTGCAACCTCAATCGAAGTTTGAAACAGCGCTATTTTTGCCTTTGTGTTTGATAGCATCGACTTCACCCATCTGATGATTGTGGGGTCAACATTTTTAGATGTCAGGCCCCCAATCAGCAGTGATGTGGGGCTACTGTCGAAGGCGCCCTCAATATCTAGAGAGGCACAAAGAGCTATTTCTTTATCCTCCAGTGCTTTTTCGACCCTGTCAATGACACTGATCAGGGCTGTTTCCGTAGATTTGCCTCTGCGGTAAGCATGCTGGTTGTAATGTAAACTGATACGATTGCACTCGTTTTCAGGCCAATCAACCGTCTACAAGTTGGTGAAAATTACATTAAAAGATTCTCTTATACGTAGATAGATAGATAATAGCAAAGCTAATAAAAGCCTTAGACTCGCTTTACTCATATATACCGGTCCTTTGTGATTGGCCCATCTGAAGTTCCAAATTTATTGTACACCATTTTAAATTTCGGGCCCATCAGAGAATGGGTGATTCGGATCGGGGATATGAGACGAGCGCTATCTGCGATTTTGGCGTGAATCGGATCGCAGCCTATTATTAATCATTTGTGGTTGCAGGGGCGAACGGAAACCACGAACGCGCGGCGTGATCCACGAACTTGTGCGAATCGCTTTGTTTTGAATTTGTTTACATACCTAGTTATAAAGTCTGCAAGTAGTCGCAACATCATTACAACCCATTAGTCACAAATTGGTCTGATTAAGCTTTTGGTATAAAATTACTCGTATACTAGATACTTTTAAGTAGCCATAATTTTACAATAACGTGTTGTTCACGAATTGTGCCCATTATGTTTTTTAATATTAGATTAGTGAAAAGATGTTATGGAGTATAACGTTACAGAAGACACTGACTCCACTGTATAATTGCTATTGCTGGTCCAACAAAGGAGTCATACTTTCAGTCAAGGGACAAGGTTTTGACCATGTTATATAAGCCGTTGTATTGAGAATAAAATGCATTATAGAACTGATCGCTGCCACGTAATCACTTACTAAGTTAAGTAAGTCAGTATTGCACTGAACTAGTTACCTCCTGGATCTTCCTTGAGAAATGAGAAATTGAGTTTTGTTTAAGAGATCATTGCATTAACAACAAAATATTTATGCATGTGGCATTGTCATAAGACTCCGCAGTAACTAAGCAATTATATGAAATTTGTTACATTATTGATAATTATATGAAACGTCGCCGAGTAACGGGACAAACTTATGTCTGAAGTCGAGACTTTGTTGAACAAAATTTCGGACTGGGGGCGACTAAATCTAGTCCAGTTTAATCCCCAGAAGACACAAGTTTGCGCGTTTTCCGCTAAAAAGAACCCCTTCGTCGTATCTCAGTTCCATGGCACTCCCTTTTTTGCGTCAGCCGGTATCGGAATCCTCGGTGTCGACATATCGAGTGACGTGCAGTTTCGTGGTCACTTGGAAGAGAAGGCCAAATCGGCCTCTAAAAAGCTTGGCGTGCTCAGCAGAGCGGGACAGTGTTTCTTGCCGGTTCACCGCCTGCAACTTTCAAGGCGCAGTTTCTATCGCACATGGAATACTGTTCCCATCTCTGGACCGAGGCTCCCCTGTGCCAGCTCCTTCCATTTGATCGCATCCAGCGCAGAGCAGTTCGAATCGTCGGCAACCGAGCTCTTTCCGATCGGCTTGACTCACTGGCACTGCGAAGAGATGTTGCATCTCTTTGCTTATTTTATCGCATCTACAACGGGGAGTGCTCTGAGGAATTGTTCAGACAATTTCCAACCGCACAGTTTCACCATCGCACATCGCGACAGAACTTGCGATACCATGGTACCAAGACACACCATCGACGATAATACGACACATGTTTCGCCTCTACTCGAGGCATCTTCAGGTGACGTAGACTCTACGGCGGCTGACCGCTAGCGGTCTTTCCTAGAATAGTGGTGTTGGGAGTAGTGGTGCTGGGATTAGTGGTGACGGGATTAGTGCACTCAATTGAGGGAGGGCAGGAGGTGCTCTTCATACTAGGCAAGACACATCATTTTATTTTAATGAGCGGATGGTTGCAAAGTAACTATTAATATCTTTAGTATAATGGATTTCCGTTATACTAAAGATATTAATAGTTAAAATAAAATAACGACTCAATTTGCTCAGTGACGTGGTTCCATATACCTTTCTTTGCTAATTTACGTAATGCATCGTCTCGGAGACTGGGGTGTGAATGAATCGGTCGCTGTTGCATGTGGTTAATAAGCTGGCGGTGTCGGGCTCGGATTTCGGCCGTTAGCGGGTAATTGCCGACACCTAATTAGTCCAACACCCCGACACCCGACGACACGGCTCCAGTGTCGCTCTCACACACGAGGCGCGATATTTAATGCCACGACGATACCCAGCTCCACTTTAACCTATAGGTATAACTGCCAGCTCGATGAGCTTATATTTCAATATAAAGTGTTTTATACTTGGACATTTTGCTATATAAAGTGTACAGTGGTTTTCTCCCTTTCTGCCTATTGATACTATGACGACTATGCATCAAGCATTGAACCTAATGGACATAAAAGATTTTTTTAAGAATGAACCATTTTCTGCGTTTCTGAAATATTTGCCAATACTTTATCAATATATGTCATTGACATTACATTTTTAATTTAAGGAGCTACATAAGCATGTATCAGCCTGAAGCTAATGATGTAAAAATATGTGATAGATTAGTGAAGAGATATTTCGTATAACAGATATACGTATATGAAAAAAAAATTTACATTATTTTTGAAGTAAATTGAAGTAAAACTTCTTAAGGCACGAAAAGAGGATATCTATCTTTTTCAGCTACTCGTACATGTAACACTTATGTTCAGTACAGGAAAATTACACCGAAAAGTACCAATTAAAATATTTAAAATATATGGATATAATTGGTAAAAAACATTTATTTTAAATCTAAAATTTAGTTTAATTTTGATATTGAGCTTTATAATTTATATTTATGAATATTGTTTTCGTCACCATTATTACAAACACTGTCATTTAATAAAATGTTACCATCTTAAAATTATCGATATGGAAGAAATAACTTTAAAGTTTGTTGATTTTTATTATTCCCAAATACTATCAAAAAATTCTTACATTAATTTGGGATGTAATAAAGAGTTAATAATATTTTTGGCTATTAATTCTTCTAAATGGAACACCGTTCATCAAGTTAGTTGCCTTTGAATTTTATTTCTTCATATTTAAAAATAATTAGATTATTTTATTTGTTCATATTTAAAAATAATTAGATTATTTTATTTGTTCATATTTAAAAATAATTAGATTATTTTATTTTTTCATATTTAAAAATAATTAGATTATTTTATTTGTTCATATTTAAAAATAATTAGATTATTTCCGAAAATTAAAAAAAAAAATACTGTGGTTAAATAATCTATGAGGGATGCTTATGTTCAGCTGTGGACTCATTGGGTTATATTGTAATATATACATTAATGTGTGGGCTGTGTGCTCTTTATATAGGCTGTAATGAATGGAAAAATGGTTTGAAAAAAATTGAGTTGGTATCAGGAAGATAGTGTTGCTCATTGCGTCTATTATTTCCCTCTGCCGCCTAATTACAAAACCCGCAGGACGGTATGTGCTAGTGTATTCTCTTACGCCCCGATACACGACAAAAATAAACCCTGAACAGAAATATATAAGTATTAAAATTAGTAACACGCACACATTTGTTTTAAAACTAGAATGACCGACATAGCCCAACGGATTAGTAAGCTGAAGTGGCAATGGGCCGGCCATATAGCTCGAAGAACCGATAACCGATGGAGAAGAAAGGTTCTCGAGTGGCAGCCTCGTACCGGTAGGCGTAGTGTAGGGCGACCCCCCACTAGATGGAGTGACGACCTGGTAAGATATGCAGGAAGTCGATGGATGCAGGTGGCTCAGGACCGTGCTTTGTGGCATTACTTGGGGGAGGCCTATGTTCAGCAGTGGACTTGTGAGGGGCTGTAATGATGATGATGATGATGACACGTTTGTTTTATTGTGCGACAATGGGGCCTGTGATAACTCTTTTACCTCATCTTTTTATATTGTTGAAGGTATGGAGGCGATCATGTCAGAGTTCTTCAACGACACCACCACCGCCTTCTACATCATCCTGATCGTGTGGATTGCCGATCAGTATGATGCGATCTGCTGCCATACAGCCATCGCCAAACGACATTGGTTGAGGTAAGATCTGTATGATATAAAATTCTCGCTATTGTAAATCACTAAAAAATACATGGTTAATTTTTCCTTTATTATGTATTTGACTATTAAAAGGATTTTCGAAAATAATAAAACTTTGATAACGTGTTAAAACCGGTTTCAAAATTAAATGGAATAAAATAATGTTCACATAGTAATTCTGAATTCGTTACTAAGTGTATATATTATACGTATTGTCCATATGGACTTTTTGTATATAAAACAAATTCAGGATCAAAAGCGTTTTGTGAAAAAAAAAGAATGTTCTCACGAGTTGAAACTTCGTTTTCATTTGTGTGGTTTGGATATTTATTTTAACACCCCGGCTTCGCACGGGTGACTTCTGGATCTCGACAATAGCGTTAGGTACACGTACCTGGTTAATATTGGTTAACCATCCAGATGGATCCATCTGGATGATTTAGATTCAAACACACCTAAAAAGTCATATCAAAATCATTCAGGCGTTTAGGAATTAAGTGGCAAACACACGTACGGAAGAAACGTACAAAAGATAAAAACCGACCGATTTTGGCTCACGCCTTCATTAGTGTATTAAAATGATAAGAATTACGAACATACCTGCAATGGTTGAAGACACAATCCTTGACTTATTGAGTTGTTTTATTTACATACTTTAATTTTTATTAAAGTATGTAAATAAATACATTTTTATTAAATTTTATTTGATTTTGACATTAACTTAAAAACATTTACTTTAATAATTTCATGAACAATTTACTTAGTAATCTTACGTTTTTTTGTCTTCAAAATTACTTTCATCGCATGAGTTTAACATTTTATCATATCAATATATATATGACTGGTGACATACTTGTATTGTATTAAAAAGACTACGCTCTCACAGAATATCATAAAATAATAACTTAATACCGTTGTGGTTCGTATGGTGAGTGTAGAGAACTTGAGACCCTTTTTATTAGACACGAGGCATTAAATCGGTCGGTCCTCAGGGGTGATAACGCATCTGCACACTGATTCTTAACCGAGAATGAATATAGATGTCTATGGGCTACAGTACCCACTTAGCATCAGGTGGACTGCGTGCTTGTCACCCTAATTCTATAAAAAAAAATGTTATGTTTTACTACTTTTATTATGTACTTTCATAAAAATATACACAAGCGGTTTGTTCGATTTAGGAGAGCAAAATTAACGTTATCGATTTTATACCTACGCAAAATGGCTTCTGGGACATGGATATTTAGTGACACTTTGACCTAAAGTATGGCCATCCAATTAGTGCACTCGGCTTGGGCCAGTTCATTGAAAAGTACTCTGTGGACCGCGTGAAAATTAATTAGAGTATTGAAGCGCCGCCGGCCATCATCATTTAGGCCATTGAGGGATGCGTTGTGGGGATATTTTTTAAAGATGATAATGATTTCATTTGTTATTGTATTTCAAACTTGGAAGAGATAATAGAGAATATATATTAATATATGCTGAGAAGTGGTAGCGTGAGAGAACCCACTTCACCCTAACATCCCGTGGGTGTCTTAAGAGGCGACAGAGGTTAATGAAACTGGAGATGACCACCAGCATTATCCTGATAACTCAAAATTACACAAAAAAGCTGTTGTTACCAAGCCTGTTAACCGTGGCAACTATGGCAAATAGCCATTATTTATACGGTGGTAGAATGCCTTTTCTGTCCAGTAGTTTGTCTGAGTAGGTCACATCTCCTACCCACTTGAACTGCTAAATAGCAGTACTGGCATTGTTGTGTTCTCGTCTAAGACTACAGACTGTAAGGCATTTCATCTAAGTCCTCAGAGGTGACAACGCATCTTTAACCTTGTTTGCTTAAAATTAGCTGCAGCTGTAAATGGAAACTAACTACTTCCAGTAGACGGACTGTAAGTTCTTTTATCAATTAATAGTTTTATAAAAAAAATCGCATCATGTGGTAATCTTTGGATGAAGTCTATGTTGAGCAGTGCACTTTTGATAGACTGTAATATATCAATGAATGATTAATACAAATTTCGATAAAAGAAATCTATAAGAATAGTCATGAACTGATTACATTATGATATAACTGGAACATTAAAGATATGGTGATGTGAACCCATCGTGGTTCATATCACCATATCTTTTACTACTACTTAGCAGTAGTTTTTTACACGTGGTAGACACACGCTGCAGCTATATTATGGTTGTAGCACGAATGGGTCGGCTCGACCTGGAAAGAACCACGCTCTCACAGAATACCAGCATAAAATAGCAGCTTATTACTGCTAGGTTTTGTGTGGTGATTGTAGAGATCCGGAGACCCTGTTTTACTGGAAACGAGGCATTCCATCTTAGTCCTCAGGGGTGAGAACGCATCTGCGTTTTGATTCTTAATCGAGGGTAAATGTAGATGTCTCTGGGTCACAGCATCCTCTTACCATCAGGTGGATTATGTGCTTGTTTGTCACGCTTATTCTAAAAAATGTTATGTTTCACTACTTTTTCATGTACTTTCATAAAAATACACAGGAGCGGTTTGTTCGATTTGTGAGAGCAGAAATAACGTTATTGAAAATATACTTTTTTAGTCCTAGTACCTGCTTGAGTAAATAGTACAGATTGGATATTAATAATTTTAAATTGGGTTAATTTTCCATTTCTTCAGTATTCATAACAAAAACTACTGGACCGATTTTGATCATAAGATTCAGGTTCTAATTACATAATCGCGCATCGAGAAAAATGTGGAAAGTATCATTTGTTTTATATAATTTGCGTAAACTAACCACGAACGTACATACCTATTATCCATCAGACATTCTCCGCAAAACCATCCATCTGCTAGGATGCTAAATACCTTTTAAACGTAGAAATATGTCAAAATTCGGACTCAGGGAAAATTTCCTACTGGGAAGTTAATATATATATATATATATATATATATATATATATATATATATATATATATATATATATATATAATTTAAGTTCCAAAGTGCTTGTAAATAGGATTCCTTAAAATCGGTTTCAGACTAATACCTGAAACTGATCTCAAGAAAATACTAAAATATATATTACTTTCTATTCTAGTTTATGCAAAATATGCGTTTTAAGTGTTTTTATTTGAGTTTCAAAGTTATCTGTATCGGGGTATATGCTAAGAGAAAGTATGTACATTAAAATAAACGTATAAGTATTATTATTCCCTTGCATAAAATACAAAAAACCTTTTTACGCGATCCTGCGAATTTGGAAAGAAACCTTCGGAAATTAATAGTTCTGTGAGAAATAAATGCAATCGGCTTGAACACCCTAAGTGATAATTAAGTTCATCCGATTGTTGTGGTAACAGCGCATGGCGATAGCAGTCGCGGCTCACTATGTTGACATGCGTCACGTCAATGAACCGAGCATTCATTAAATTACATGAGCACCGAATCCTGTTTGTATGTATCCCTATCCCTATTTGTTTGGAGTTCGTTATTTTTGTGACGTTCGAATGTTTACTGTCAAACGTCGACGTTTTTTTTCTTTAATAGCTACACTAATGCTGTTCAAATATGTTAATATGAGTACCTACATTTTTCAAATCGTTTATTTTCCTTTTCATGATGCTATGGGGAAATACAACGCTGCTTGCTAAATGCAAGCTTTATTTTATTATATTTCTAATACTTTACATTCAAAATGAATTTAGATTATTAATATTTTTCTTTCTATACATCCCGACTAAAATTTAATTTCTTAATCGGACAAATTCAGGTGTCAATTTCATGTATTGTACTCGTAGTTCACTAATGTGTCCCCTAGGACTCCTTCTCACCCATGAATGCGTGCACAAATAGTGGAACGCTTTGTTTTTACGCTTGCTCCGTAGCGCGTGTTCCTCCTTAATCAAAAGGCGCTCGGGCACGAAGCAATTTGGCTGGTCGTCCGCACAAGCAATAAGGAGAGTGAGCGCCATTAAAACAAGCACAAATAAAGCAAATTGAAAACGGCACCGTATCCCCTCAAGGGGGGCTAGTTCAGCCCCGCAGGCCGGTACCGCCCTACAAAAACAACTCGGCAGCTGTCTACTGAGACCTCTACTTCGTCTAAGTGCGACATATATTTTTGTTTGGTCGTGTTCGCAAATTTAAAATTTATTAGTGTATTGTAGACAGTATGTTCAAAACGACTATAAATCAAAAGCACGCTATAGACTATAAACTATAAATTTCTAGCGCGCTATTAAATACGCTATGTTATAGCGCGCTATTTATAAGAAAGCGTGTAGGAGGCCGGCAAACGCGTTAAGTTTTGCAGCACGTTATATCACGTAGCACGCTACATTACATGTCGTTCGTTGGGTAGACCGCGTGCTATATAAGAACATTATTTTGTAATAAGTCGCATTTTAGACTAAAATAAATTAAAACGGTAAAGAAAAAAACAATGAAAACTCCTTCATACTTTTCAGGCTTACGACTATCTATAATCGATGTAAACGTTATTTTAACCTTAATGTAAATTATAAATCAATTAAAGGCGTATTTAAAAATTTACTTATTGCATACCTATACAAAAATAAACTATTTACATACGCTATTATATACATTTTTGTATCTATATTTTATTTACATTTAAAAACATTATGTAGGCTACTTTTGGTAGCAGACAACTGTGTGCTTAGGTCATTTATAAATTAACGAACTAAACAACGTTTAACACTAAATTAGGTCACGCGCGATGAATAGCGTGCTACTGGATCAAATTTTTGTCACACGTTCACCACTAGCAGCGCTGCTGCTAAAACTAGTTCCCGCTAGACGGCTAGATATGAATACTTATTAGCGTCGAAGCGTCATAGCGCAATAGCGCCATGGCGACTACTTACATAGCACACGCTATGCGTTATGGAGAGATAGCGTGCTATAATATGGCGCTATGCGCTATATTAACCACCATTAGTAGACAGTTTTGTTCCAAAGGTTATAACCGTTTGCAGAAAAAATACAAATAAAAAC